TAAAGTGATGAACCAATTACAGCTTTAATCTCTATTAAGGTTCGCGCATGTAAACATTTACTTAATAATTAAACTGTGTCCTTAGGTCTCTGAATGATGTGCCATACCCTGCCTCTCTTCCCAGTGCTCCGTTACTCTGCCCACCATATCACAGAGCACTTATATTATCAGCCAGTTTACCCACTATACTCACACAGGATTTATACTGTCAGCCAGTTTACTCATCATACTTACGCAAGACTCATACTGTCAGTCAGTTTATCTACCACTCACAAAACTGCTGCTAGCTAGTTTACTCACAACACACACAGAACTGCTGCTAGCTAGTTTATTCACAACACTCACACTTCTGCCAGCTAGTTTACCCATAACATTCACAGAACTTCTGCCAGCTAGTTTACCTATAACATTCACAGAACTTCTGCCACCTAGTTTTCCTATAACATTCACAGAACTTCTGCTAGCTAGTTTACCCATAACATTCACAGAACTTCTGCCAGCTAGTTTACCTATAACATTCACAGAACTTCTGCCAGCTAGTTTACCCATAACATTCACAGAACTTCTGCCAGCTAGTTTTCCTATAACATTCACAGAACTTCTGCCAGCTAGTTTTCCTACCTCACTCACAGGACTCATAATATCAGGCAGTTTACCCACCACACTCACGCAAGATTCATCGTCAGCTTTTCCCTCCCACGAACCACCACTGGTTTTTCATCACCGTCTCGAGCCACAAATAAACCGGGTTGAGGCGCCCCCAGCATCTCTACCCACACGGGCTCTCTCACTTCCCATCAATACCATAATCTCTAGATCTGTGGTGGCTTGTTTTCCTCTCTCTCTCTCTCTCTCTCTCTCTCTCTCTGCTTCTCCTTTGCTAGGCTTTGGGACTCGTACACGAATATACATGAATATGATTTCTAAAAGGTCTTTGAGTATTAATTCACTGAACGAGCTTAACCTATCAGGGTCGTGCAGCTCCTGGGAATGGAAAGTAATCGGTGATCATGTGCATAAGATATGTTGTAATAATGTTGGTAGAATCATCGACAATATGTTAAGTAAAAGGACACAAGCGCAACTAATGCGACAGTTTATTGTAGCAACGTTTCGCTCTCCATTAGCTCCTGGAGAGCAAAACGTTGCCACAATAAAATGTATCATTAGTTGCACTTGTGTCCTTTACCTAACATGATATATGTTCACTAAAGAGGACTCTTTCCACACGTCACACTCACACAACACACACTCTCACAGTAACTCACATTATTACGTTACTTTTAATTAAGTATTCCCAGAATGAAGATAACAATGGTGGTTGTTGGAATTCTTATTTTCCGTTTTTCTTCTTGATAAGTTAACGTACAATAACTTGAAGATTACTGCTGACTGAATGAAAACTTTCAAAGTTGGTGCATTAAACTTGAAGTTCGACTGGGTAAAATTGTTATTGTACTGTGTACATGATAACTCGTTATTTTTGTTCCAAATATTGTCTGGTTATTTTTTTCCGAGTAATAGAAATAGCTTTCCTGAAGGATTTCGAACTTAAAATACTGATGTATTTAACCGAGAGGAAGATTCAGTTTAGTTTTAGTTTGTCTAGATACAAATTTTGCGAATTTATGCAATAATTGAAAAGAGCGAGAGTTGAGTATTTTTTTTTAATTTAGGTATTTAGGTAAATAACATGTATAGTTTTTTTTTTTTTACAGTGGTTAGAGGGCACAATATTAGTGCCACACGCATAATACATAATGTAGATTTAGTCTATGGTAACCCAACATATGGTAATACCATACCCATAGTGTAACAAAGTGACTTATTTCCATTGGTGTCCTTTTTAATTCATATATACATATATGTCGTCTTATGTGTAAATACTACACATGTGCAATATTTGGAAACTTTTGCCCACCAGAAACTTTGTTAATACTATGTTGAAGTTCCTGGTGGTTTACCCTATGCCTGAAGGGGGTTTCGGGGGTCAACGCCCCCGTGGCTCGTTCCATGACCAGGTCTCGTGGTGGATCAGGCTGTTAATGCTGGCCACACGTAAACCGACGTACGAACCACAGCCCGGTTGATCAGGTACTGACTTTAGGTGCCTGTCCAGTACCTTCTTAAAGACAACCAGGGGTGTTATGTATGCTGGGAGGCAGTTGAACAGCCTTGGGCCCTTGACACTTACTGTATTGTCTCTTAGCGTACTCGTGGCGCCGCTGCTTTTCATTAGGGAAATGTTGTATCTCCTGCCGAGTTGTGGATTGTATTTTATTTTGGTTTACTTGCTGGGTACACAAAAATATAACTATTAGTACCAAGAACTTTGTATTACCACTTACCAGCATCATATTTTTATTACACAATTATTGTATTATTCATATGTTCTACATTTAGGAAATTATGTAAAAAAATTCCACAGAAGTTTTGGTTTTATTTTTTGTGATCTGACAATAGCCCTGGATCGACCGAAATATCATCGTAAATTTGTTCTCTCAAGTGTATTATTATAATCAATTATTATTATTATTATTATAAAAAACAGAAGCGCTAAGCCACAAGGGCTATACAGCGCTGCTATTATAATCAAAACTAAGCGATAAACCCGCAGGTTATCTGTATTGTGACTTATTCTGCATCTTGACGTTATTATTCTCATAGGGAAGCGCTAAACCCATTCATGTAGCGCTTAGGAAATGGGAGGTAATCAGGTTTGATCCAAGGGGGAAGAAAGCACTAATTCCTTTTTTTTCAGTTAAGCTGTATCAGGCTTTATCAGTAAACTTTATTAATCTTTTAGCACAGCTTTATCATTTGACTTTTATCGAGCTTCAAGTTTTTTGAAAAATCATCAGTAGAGCATAAAAAAAATGATAAAAGTTTTTCATTATTGTTATAAGTCATGTGGGAACGTTAAACCCGCAGGAGTCATATAGCATCTGGGGGGTATGGGAGGCATTTAGACTCAATCCAAGGAAGGTAAGTATAGGCCTAGTTCCTTAGATCAAGAGCCCCCCAGCAGCGTCAAGGCACCTCACTTGAGGAGTCAGGATTAGTTGGAGCGCTAAACCGGTAAGGATTATATAGCGCCTGGGGAGGGGGGGAGGATGGATGGAAGGCAATCAGGCTTAATTCAGTGAACTGGAGCACAGATCAAATTCCCTATATCAAGAGCCCTCACCAGCATCAAGGAACCTCCTTTGAGGGGTCAGAATTACAATAAAAGTTTGATACAATTTCGTAGTTTGGCACCATTTTCCTGGTCCTCCGTTAGTAACTAAGGCCCACCGTATGAGGGGTTATTTCTTGGGTGAAGGACACAGTTCCAATTCATGTTTTGTCAGAGGAAATTGTTCATTATTTTTCCTCACAGGGAAGTGCTAAACCTGTAGGGATCATATAGCACCTGGAGAATGGGAGGCATTCAGTTTTGATTCAATTATTATTATCAAAAGTAGCGCTAAGCCACAAGGGCTATACAGCAGTTTTGATCCAAGGGATTATTATAATCACATTTATTATAATAAAAAAGAATATTATAATCACAGGGAAGTGCTAAACCCATAGGATTATACAGCACAAGTGGGGGGGATGGAAGGTATTCAGGCTCAGTTCAGGGAACCGGAGCACAGATCCAATTCCCTAGATCAAGAGCCCCTTGCCAGCATCAAGGAATCTCCCTTGAGGGGTTGATCCAAGGAAGATTTAGTCTGGTTCCTGGGAGATCAAGAACCCTTTACTGACATGTAGGTACCTCCCTTGGAAAACTTCTTAGGTCAAGAGCCCTTCACCTACAAAAAGGTCTCCACATGAAGAGGTTTTAGTGTAATAATAGAAATAGAGATTATACAGCACATGTGGGCGGAAGGTATGCGGGCTCAATTCCCTAAACCATAAACCGACAAGGGTCATGAAGCCTGGGGTTGTATAGAGCCTGCAAATGAGGTATTCATCTTTAATCTAAGGGAAAGTAATTACATTTCCTTGTATTAAGAGCCATCAATGGTATCAAGGAATCTCTAGATTATATTCATGGGGTAGCATTAAAGCCATTATATTCATCTAGTACCTTGGGAAGAGGAGTCAGTCAGGCTTGATCAAAGGGGAGGGTAGCTCTAATTCCTCAGACCAAGAGCCCTTCACCAGCACCTCCCACTAAGGGATTTAAGTCTCATATTCACGGGGAAGCGCCGAACCCACAGGGGGTAATGCAGAATGGCAACCTGGCCTGCGTTTTGTAGTGACAATACGCATCCACCCCTCATGCCATGGAACACGGTAGTTTGGCCAACGGAAGTCAAAGTTCCGTACTAACACAAACACAGATTTCCTATGTTGGGTTTGTTGGCTGGAGGGAAAAGAAATTTGTCCAGTCATTTCCTAAATACTCCCTGTAGAGATACTTAAAAGATGCTTTCAAAGATTAATGCCCCCATGGCCTAGTCCCAGACCAAGCCTTCAAGTGGATCAAGAACTGATCAACTAGACTGGTACTGCTGGCCACAGTGCAACAAACTACAGCCCAGCTGGTCAGGAACTAATTTAAGGAACTTGTCCAGTTTCCCCTTGAATTCAGCCAAATGGAAAAAGTGGGAGAATTGGAATATTTAGATTTGATCCGAGGAAAAGGAGAAGAATTTTAATTTCTCTGATCAAAAGCCCCTCTGCTACAATTTGGGACCACTCCTTGTAAAGGATGGAAAGTGCAATTTTTTTCTTTTACATTTCAATACTATAAAGATAGTTCTGCATTTACTGAATTAGTTTATAGTTTAAAAAGTGTTTGATTTCCTTTTAGATATTTAAACAATTTTAGAGTTTAGGAATTTATTGTATATACATTTCTAGGCCCTTTTATACAGTGCACATCATACATTACCCCTCTGCATCACACACTGGAAAAGGTGCGGTACCCACATCCCTTTCATTACCCTATACCATCTGGGGACCTCTGCAGTACTTCTATTTTACAAGGCCTCACAGATAGTCCTGGGAAGGCAGTATTTTGACCTGCATTTTTTTTTTTTTACCTTGGAGCAAATATGAATGCTACATCGATATGTGGAATATGAGACCTGGGTAATACAAAAACCACTCCATGCCTACATTAAAAATGATGACAATGCTTATAACATAGCCTGTCATGTCAGTGACTATAAAATAAGTTTTCTTTACAAGTTGGGCATACATCACAGCAGTAAGTTGTGTGTTTTATGTATTTCTTGTCACCTAAAAAGTATCTGCCAGATATATAAGCCTGGCAATATGTACTTACAATATTACCCCTATGTTGAATATTTCACTTCAAGGCTATACAGGTCAAAGTGGGATGTGATGCCGAGATACAACAGCGCACAATCTAATGCACTACTTACAAACTGCACTTGAGTGTTGAAAACTTGTGAACTCATATATATATTTATATATATATATATATATAATATATACTTCTTTGCATCACTATCAAAGTGTAAAAAACACGCCATTTTCCAATTAACTAGTAACTATTTACTCAAGGAGTCTTACAAAATTTCAGCTGGAGGTACAATAAGACCTGGGTACACGTTTCTTCATCCTGCAGCCCAACTTAGTTTCTGTTGTGATTTATGTAGCAACCCATGAGTTACATTTGTATATTTTATACTTTATTTTGTTTATATGCTTATGATGCAATATTAAGCAATCATACTCTTACATAAGTCACAACTGAGCATTAGCCGAGCTGAAGATGCAAATAACAGCATTTATCTTCCCAACCCTCACTCTCTATGCCCAGGAAAATAGAAACTATTTTCTTTGTGTTTTTCTGAAAGATGTATGATAAAATACCAGTTCCATTATACCTAGCCACTGGTAATTACTTACACATAATTCACTCATAGGCATATTAAGAAGGATACGCACATTTGTTTGTGTCAAGTAAATATACGAAACTAGCAGTAAACTGTTATTTTGATTACGAACTGTCAAAATAGAAAAGCTTTCACGCTCAATTTTATGAGAGATCTATAATACAGTATACAGCTATTTACCTTTAAGCCAGTTTTTCATCCATTCCCAAAGGTTCCCACTAAAAATATATAAAATTTCAAACAATGTGGATGGCATTTCCCCCCCCCCTCGATACAATAAGATACAAAAACCATTACTATCTTGCTCGTATCTTTACCTGTCACAGTTACACCAGTCCTACAACTGCACACTAAGTACACATGAATTAGAAGATGTGCATCCTAAAACGAATACAAATCTCTGTTCTGGCATAAGAAATCTATTGCAGAAGCAAACACATAACCAGCATACAATCTGTCTAAAAGTGAGAAAGAAGAAGGGGAAAAATAATATAGATGAAGTTACAACTGTCTGCCTCCAATCTCTTCACAGGTTTAGTGGCTTTATTAGGTAAGGCCCCCTCCTCAATTCTTTTCAAGTGTCAATTCTTTGATGTACACAAAGTGGTGCTAATATGTACTTAGTTGAATGGAAGGGGGAGCCCAATTACAATTATTATGGAAGCACACTTGAACACTAAGGTAACACTTCATTGTGATAAAGCATTACATATTCTTACTGTGCACTAGATAATTCCTAATTAAAAAGAAATTAGAATGCGTCTGATAGCAATATGCCTTATAAACCAAAGGCAATCAAAATATATTACGTCATTGTTAATGTCATTCACGCATACTCAAACCAAACACACTTAACATGAGTATCTTCTCTGGGCTTTTATGATTTATAGATCAGTTGATTACACATCTCTCAATTCATTCTTTCAACTTTCTGGCACATATGCATATACCATTTTGAACTCTAAACTATATGAAAAAACTAAAACACACATATGGCACATTGAGCAACAGTAACATCGCTACTTCTATATAGGAAGATTCCATACAAAACATGGGAGGAATTTTTACAGCTGTGTGATAGGGACAACAAGGAGGGGGTATTGAGGTATGGTGTGTCACAGGGACAAAGGGAAGGGAACAGTGTGACAGGGAAAACAGAGTCAGGCATTAATATATTTATTACAAGACCTATGAAAATATCATACCGAGGCCGTCACACGGTCCATGAAGTCATTACAGGAAACCAGCAAAGGTTATTTTGATGTTGGACTCCATATCACAGGAGCCACAAGGAATATTGAGGTTGTATAACAAGGACTATATGAAGGACACATGAATATAGTGTCATAAGGAACGCATTTAAAGTTGTGTCAACTTATACTGCTCATCCCTAGGTTCATAGGATGGAGATACATAGGTGGAGTCACAAAGAACACAGTGCCGAGTTTTATACTGCAAGGGAAAGGTTAACAATATATTCAAATTTAAGTCAATGAGTGATATAGCAAGAAAATGTAGGTAAAAATATAGCAGTCAAGGGTGTTGGTGCAAGCATGGGCAGAAAAGAACGTTTATATTGAATTATGGAAGGAAAAATTTTGTGGCCATGTACTGCAGGGAATGATGGGATCACAATGGATTCAGACACTGTGGTCGGACATGCTACCTATGAATGCAAAAATAAAGGCACTATCTAAATCCATCTTCACAAAGCTGCACAAATATCATACCAATACTACATTCTGCAGGAAAATAATTTTACTGCAATGGGAAATGATGCCATTGGTGTATTTTCTTGGCCCCTCCCAGGGTGTAAGCAGTAACATTAGGCTTATTTTGGTTTTAATCACAGTTATCTGTAGTGTTCCAATTCAGTATAAAATCTTAACAAAATTGAGACAACAAATATCCTTATATGTCACAAATACATTATAAATGCAACTAAACTTCACATGCAAAAAAATACAACAGATCTTCAAAACAGAACACAGGAAGTGATCAGAAACAACTACAATTACTGCATATTGGTTTTGTCATCATTATTGTAATATATAAAAATCTTAACAGCTTAAACTCTAATTACGAACTGTACTCAATCATAACACTGCAAATTGACCCTCATTAGCTGTATCTAGGCTAGTTTTCCTGCATTCAACACATATTTACAAAGCCCTCACACATCCCAAACAGCATTTATGTACATCACTGGTACTAGTGGAAACACGCACAGTCTTCTAGCTGGAGAACAACCATTCTTGTGCTTCAAAGGTTATGGTTTTGTGCCAATTTCTGGTTATCTCTATAGCAAGTGTGTACTAACAATGAAAACAAGCATTTATCCACAGTAGTTTCCCTGTGCAATGTATATTAACAATACTGACCTACAAAATAATTTTCATCTTGTGCAGGAAATGTTTTGACAACTACCTGGTGTTGCCATTCCATAAAATTGATGTGATACACATCACGCTTATGTAAAAAATGAGGATAATTGTAAAGATGGAGCAGGATCAAATCAGGCCACTTAACATTTTTCAATACAGGAGTTTTGTTCCATATCACCCTCCATTACACTTAATGCACTTTTGATAAAAAGCCACTTTGGGTCTACTTTTCATGAACTGTACAGGTGTCCACAATCACTTTTTTAAAGTCCACATATAAGTCATAGTAAATAGAAATATAATCCAGTATAAGGCTATGTATTGATGTGGACAAATCACAGTACAGAAGGTGGGTATGTGTTTTTATTAACCTTAAATTGCCAATACTTCAAGTTTGGCCACAAGTACAGTGCACACTGACACTAATCCTGCTGTTCTAAATACTGGTTATAGATCAGAAGGCTGGTGGGTATCTGAGGTTGATTCTACGTAGACACTTTTGACATAGCTAAGCGGTTTTTGGGCGGTAGTTAGACTTCCGCCATGAGCGACTGGGATTCAATTGGAGCGGCCGAGTCATACAGAGTATCTGTATCTTGAGTTGGCTCTCCCTGTAGCTGGCACTGGTTATTTAATGTCCCTGCACCACAGTCACAGAAAAACCTGAAACAATTTTAAATTATAAAATGAATGTAGTATTCATTTATGATTTATATTAATTAAATAATTACCTTTTATTACAAAGATTCGCTCAGATCCTACAAAAAGGAGAAAAACATTCTAGGCTTTTTAACAAATTATAGGTGTTACTCCTCGCCCTAACATACATATGCTTTCCACAAAATCCAATTGCTAAACGAAATGCAGTATCTACATCTGAAAATACTTTTCAGACTTACATTGTGTGGGTGGAGATGCAATTTGGTTAAAATCAAGACGAGGATTAAACAAAAATACTCACCAACGACGATAGGCTTAAATGCATGTTGGAGCAAAATGTGGTAGTCTTCCCCTTTATCTTCTCACCCTTATAAGCCTTATCACAGGTTTGATGGAGATTTCTTACAGAATTTCAATATTAAAGCCATTAGAATATAAAGTAAGTGAATAATATATTGTATGGATATAACTTGTGGTCTGGCAGTTGCCACCAGATCAAGACCAGTCATACACTGCTTTTGATTTTTTCCAATGGATTTACTGGACACTACACACCTTGGTTAGGCTTTCGTATTATAGTGGACCATCGTAAATTTGTAACTGGATTCCTTGGATAATTAGAAATTTAGGTTTGGTCTTCAGAATATGCGAAATTTTAAATACTTGACCCTAAATTACATCACAATTGTTGCTTAATATTAGCAAAACAGCTATGAAAATGTGATGAAAGTTTGGTAAACAGCAAGTAATAATGAACAGAAGCCAGACAGAAATGGGGGATGCTCATTTCTTTAACACACATTTGATCACTCGCTAAGCAATATTTCTGTGCCATATCAAGCACCATCATGTTTTAGGTAAGGCTAAGAGGTAAAATACTGATGTTAATTAAAAAACTGCTGATTCTGAGAGCTCTTGAAAAATAAACCCAACAGACCATCCCTCTTGCTTATAGTGGAACAGTGAGCCCAGAAATCCAAGATTATTCTGGTTGGCGAGTTGATATATACACAAAACTGAAGATGATAAATCCCCCAACCAGGACAATCCCATTACTATCTAGTCTCACTACTCTGCTACAACCAAGAAAGGTGTTCTGTGAGTTTATTTCAAGGGCTCTGAGAATCTGCAGTTCCAATTTCCTAGAAGACAAGCGCCTCAAAATCACTGAAATCTTGTGTAGTGTACATTTTCTTGCCACCTTAATATGGGACTGTAAAAAAAAATTTTTGGGGGGGGGGAAAAGGGGAAAAAAAAAAACCCCCCAAAAAAAAAGGGGGGGGGTTTTTTTGGGGGAAAAGGGGGGCCCCCAAAACCCCCAAAAAAACCCCCTTTTTTTTGGGAAAATTTTTAAAGGAAAATTTTTTTTTTTAAAAAAAAAAAAAAAGGGGGTTTAAAAAACCCCCCAAAAAAAGGGGGGGGGGGTTTTAAAAAAAAAAATTTTTTTTTTTCCCCCCCAAAAAAAAATTTTTTTTGGGAAAAAGGTTTGGGGGGAAAAATTTTTCTTTCCCCAAAACCAAAAAGGGGGGAAAATTTAAAAAAAGGGAAATTTAAAAAGGGGGCCCCAAAAATTTCCCCAAAAAAAAAGGGGCCCCCCCAAACCCTTTTGGTCCCCCCCAAAAACCCCCCCAAAAAAAATTTTTTGGGGGGGAAAAAAAAAACCCGGAAATTAAAAAGGGGGCCCCCCAAAAAAAACCCGGGGGGCCCCCCAATTTTCCCCGGGGGAAAACCCCCCCTTTTGGGGGAAAAAAAGGAAAAAAAAAAAAAGGGAAAAAAAGGGGGAAAAAAAAAAAAAAAAAAGGGGGGGGGGTTTTTTTTTTTTAAAGGTTCCCCCAATTTTAAAACCCCCCCAAACCCCCCCCGGAACCCCCCGGGTTGGGGGGGGTTTAAACCAAAAAATTTTTTTTTCCCCCTTTTTAAAAAAAAAAAAAAAAAAAAAAAAAAAAAAAAATTTTTCCAAAGGAAAAAAAAAAAAAAAGGGCAAAAATTTTTAAATTTCTCCAAAAAAATTTTTGGGAATTTTTTTTTTGGCGGGGGGGGGGGTTTTTTTTCCTTTCCCCCCCCAAAAAACCTTTTTATTTTTTTTTTTAAAAAAAATTTTTCCTTTTTTTTTTTCCCCCCCTTTTTTTTAAAAAATTTTTTTAAAAAATTGGGTTTTTTTTTAAAAAAAATTTTTTTTGGGGGGGGGTGGGTTGTTTTTTTTTCCAAAACAAAAATTTTTTTTTTTAACCCCAAAATTTTTTTGGAAAAACCAAAAAATTTTTTTTAAAAATTTTTTTTAAAAAATTTTTAAAAAAAAAAAACCAAAAAACCCCCAAAAAAAGGGACACTGCACATTTGCTGTTTTAAAACCCCAAAAAACCCCGTTGGTTTCTTCCCTTTAACACTGCTTGTGCGGAATTTTTTTATATGGCACACCCTTTCCCCATTTGAAACCCCTTCTCTAGGTTTAAATTTACCACTGCATCTTATCTGAGTGGAATGAGCTCATGGTACAAGTACAAAGGGCTGTTTCTGAGCTTCAAATTTATTTTCCTTGCAATGTCATAGAAATGGGCCCCTAAAAATTAAAACCAAATACAGTAAACCCCCAGGGTATAAAGGACTAATAGGGGGGTTATAGTGTCCATCAATTTAGAAAATTGAAAAAAAAAAAAAAAAAAAACAGTGTGTACTTTTCCTATTCCCAAAAATAGTAGTAACGCAATTTTCAAAAATCTTTCAAAAAAACACTGAAAATAAATGAGTTAAAACACAATTTAACCAAAAAATTTTTAAAAAACCGTTAAGTCAAGGATTAAATGTAAAAGTAATTTTTAATAAAAAAAAAAAATTAAAAACCCTGGGGGGGGGAAAAAACTTGATGATGATTTGATGGTAAATGCGTTTTATTCTTTGGGGGCCCCTGCCTTGGGGGAAAACTGCTGTTTTAAAAAAAATAACAAAAAATAAAAAAAAATTTTTATTATTTTTATTATTTTTAAAATGAAATTTTTTTTTAAAAAAAAAAAATTAGCTGGGAAAGGGGAAAAAATTTGGGTTTAAAAACATTTAGTATGGACCCAAATTTTCAGAAAAAAATTAATAAACTTAACCCGGAAGGGTTTTGTGGGATCACTAAACGACAACACTGCTTGTTTAGTGATGATAATGGGAAAAATATAATTAATAAACTTTTAAAAAAACAAAATTTGTAAATAGTTTTTAAAATTTTTATGGTGATAACTAACAGAAATTTACATTTAAAAAATATAAGCATTCAAAACCAGAAGGAGAGAGAGAGGGGAGAGAAAGAGAGAGAGAGAGAAGAGAGAAAAGAAGGGAAAAAGAAAAGAGAGAAGAAAGAGGAGAAAACAAGAAAAAGGGAAGAAAGAAAGAGAAAAAGAAAGAAAAAAGAGGGGAAAGAGAAAGAGAAAGAGAGGGGGAGGGGGGAGGGGAGAGAGATTAGGAGAGAGAGAGAGAGAAAGAAAAGGGGAAAAAAGAAAAAGGGGAAGGGGAGAGAGAAGAAAGAGAGAAAGAGAGGGGAAAAAAAGGGGAAAGAAAAAGAGAAAGAGAGGAAGAAAGAGAGAAAAAGGGGAAAAAGAGGAAAAGAGGGGAAAAGGAGAGAGAGGAGAGAGGGGAGAAGGGAGAGAGAAAAGGGGGAAGAAAGAGAGGAAAAGGGGAGAGAGAAAGAGAGAAAAAAGAAAGAAAGGGAAAAGAGAGAGAAAGAGAAAGAGAAAGAAAAGAGGAAAAAAGAGGGGAGAGAGGGGGAAAGAGGGGGAGAAAGAGAGGGGGGGAAAAAAGGGGGGGAAAAAAAGGGGGGGGAGAAAAGGGAAAAAAGAGAGAAAGAGAAAAGAGAAAGAAAAGGGGGAAAAAAAGAAAGGGGGAGAAAAGAAAAGAAAAAGAAAGAAAAAAGAGAGGGAAAAGAGAGAAAGAGAGAGAAAAAAAGAGAGGGGAGAAAGGGGAGGGGAAAAAAGAGAGGGGAGGGGGAAAGAAAAAGGGGAAGGGGAGAGGGGAAAAAGAGAGAAAAGAGGGGGGAGAGAAAGAGAGAGAGAAAGAGAGAGAGAAAGAGAGAGAAAAGAGAGGGGGAAGAGAGGGGAAAAAGAGAGAAAAAGAGGAAGGGGGGAAAGAGAGAGAGAGAGGGGAGAGAGAAAAAGGGGGGTTTTTGGGGGGGGAAAGGGGAAAAAAACTTAAAGGAACTGGGGGGAAAGGGAAAAGGGGGAAATGGGGTTTATTCTCCCCCCAGTAATTTAACCTTAATTTTAGGTCTAAAGTTTAAATTTTCCCAATGGAATGGTAATCAGCAAGACATTACTGGGGCCCAAATGGGTTTTCCCCAAGGAAGCGTGGGGGTCCATTGTTTTTGGAATGGGCTACTTCAAAGACATTTTTTCATCTCATCCCCGAATCACATGCATATGCAGAGACTGTACACTGACATTACTTTTTCCAAAAAGAAGAAAAGCCAAACTGCTCTAAGCTACTTTAATCACCAGCTAGAGCTATATCAGCTTGGGGAAAAAGAAAGGCAAGTAACATTTTCCCCTGAGAAAACGCAAAAGATGATCGTCTTAGGGACCATGAAAGGAAAAGCTGGTGCAGTAGTAAGGTTTAAAAGGGGGGATGTTGGCACCTGGGGAAGAAAATTGATATCCCTTTGGGGGGGAAAATTTGACTCCAAAACTAACCATGGGAAGAACCAAAGTAGTTTAAAACTTGCAAACAAGGCCCGCCAGGAAGTTTTCAGCACTTCGCCGTAACTCCCCTTGCTTTACAGGGAAAAAAAAAGGGTTTTCCCAAAATCCTGTCGAGGGGACAATTTCGCTCACACCTTGGGGTATGCTCCACTTTCCCTTTTTTTGCCTGCCCCCCTCTCACTGGACTGCTTGACAGGGGTAGAGAAAGGGGCAAACGTCTCATCTCTCGCCCGGAAAACCCCTCCTGGATAGATCTGTCATTTCAGGGAAAGCCTTCAACCCTAGGAGGGGTGTGGGGGCCCTTTCTGTTATGTTAAAAAGGCCAAT